TTTTTTTTTTGAGACAGAGTCTTACTCTGTTGCCCATGCTAGAGTGCCGTGGCATCAGCCTCGCTCACAGCAACCTCCAACTCCTGGGCTCAAGCCGTCCTCCTGCCTCAGCCTCCCAATAGCTTGGACTACAGGCATGCGCCACCATGCCCGGCTAATTTTATCCTATATATTTTTAGTTGGCCATAATTCTTTCTATTCAGTAGGACGGGGTCTCGCTCTCGCTCTTGCTCAGGCTGGTTTCGATATCCTGACTTGGCGATCTTCTGGCCTCGGCCTCCCAGAGTGCTAGGATTACAGGCGTGAGCCACCGAGCCTGGCCTTTTTTTTTTTTAATTGTTTTTTAGATATATTTCTTCCCTTTTTTCTGTTTTTAGCCATCCAAATTTAGACTCAAGTTCTGGGCGTTTTTTTTTTTTTTTTTTTTTTTTTTTTAATTATTTTTTTTATTTTTGGCAGAAGTTCTGGATGTTTTAAAGTCATCCTTTTCTTATAAATTTTACCCGGTGTTTAAAACAAACTGTGTTGAGTTCTTACAAATCAAGCCATCATTTCTTCATAGCAAGTCCTACCACCTGGACCCTCAAGGAGGTTACCTACTAGGGAAGAAAGGTAGAGCTCATTCATTTTGGCTTCCCTCCTGTATTCATTACTGGTGTTTTCATTTGAGCAGGTTGTTCCTTTTACAGCTTTTTTTTTTTTTTTTTTTTTTGAGACAGAGTCTCACTTTTTGTTGCCCTGGCTAGAGTGAGTGCCGTGGCGTCAGCCTCGCTCACAGCAACCTCCAACTCCTGGGTTCAAGCCATCCTCCTGCCTCAGCCTCCCGAGTAGCTGGGACTACAGGCATGCGCCACCACGCCTGGCTAATTTTTTGTATATATATATTTTAATTGGCCAATTAATTTCTTTCTATTTATGTTAGAGACGGGGTCTCACTCTTAGCTCAGGTGTGGTCTCGAACTCCAACTCGAGCGATCCTCCGCCTCGGTCTCCCAGAGTGCTGGGATGACAGTGGAGCACGCGCCCGGCCCTTTTAGCAGCTTTCTGATGGAACACAGGAGTGCGCTGTGTCACTGAGAGCTTGTGGGAAGCCACGAGGAGCAGGAAAGCTCAGTGCCAGACTGACGGCAGCCGTGTCGTGCTGTCTTCCAGGCCGTCAAGTCCGCCGTGCAGACCATCACTGTGGGCGGGGTGGGCGCGTCACAGTTTAAGACGATCATCCCTCTGGCGACGCTCCTCAAGTCCAGCAGATCCAAGTGCCTGGAAGCAAGTTCATTATGTGCGGCTGGTCACGGCACCACGGCAGCAGCTCCGCCCCGCCCGTCAGTCAGAGCGCCAGCACCAACAGCCAGCCCCTCCAGCAAGGTCGGTAAACGGTTTTTTGTTTTGTTTTTTTTTGTAATCCATGCTTTTTTGTTTGTTTGTTTGTTTTTGAGACAGTCTCCCTTTGTTGCCCAGGCTAGAGTGAGTGCGTGGCGTCAGCTCGTCACAGCAACTCCAACCCTGGGCTCAAGCGATCCTCCTGCTCAGCCTCCCGAGTAGCTGGGACTACAGGCATGCGCACCCACGCCCGGCTCATTTTTTTCTATATATATTAGTTGGCCAATTAATTTCTTTCTATTTTTAGTAGAGGCGGGGTCTCGTTCTTGCTCAGGCTGGTCTCGAACTCCTGACCTTGAGTGATCCTCCTGCCTTGGCCTCCCAGAGTGCTGGGATTATAGGCGGGAGCCACCCTCGCCTGGCCTAAAATTCAGAATTTAATGTAGAGATACCCGCCTTAGCATTCATGGTCCTCAGCAAACGTCTGCCCTTTGCCCCTGTCTGTCTACTGTCACCCCAGGTGCCACCCAGGCTGGTCTGTTCGCCAGTACTTCGTGAATGCGCTTTGCAGATTCCCAGGGCAGATTCCCCCTTTCCTGCCTCTGCCTCTGCACGGAATGCCCTCCCACCCGTGTGTCCCACCCGGTGTCTGGGGCCCATTTTAGTGCCTCGTCCTCATGCACTCTTTTGCATTTCCATCCTCTACCAGTTAGATGCACATTCTCTCTCTTTGAACCCCGATAGCTCTTCATTTATCTTCCGTAATAGAATCTGTCTTATTTAGGTATCGTGTTTCCCCGAAAATAAGCCCTGCCATACAGTAAGCCCCAGCAGGATGTCTAATCCACTCCTGCGGTTCAAGCGATCCTTAGTCAGCCTCCGAGTGTGGGACTACAGGATGCACACCACCCCACGCCGCTAAATTCTTTTGGGTTATTAATTGAGCCATTAACTTTCTTTCTATTAATGGGTAAGACCGGGGGACATACACACTTGCTCAGGTGGTCTCGAACTCCCACAACCTCGAGCACCATCCCTCAACAACCTCGTCTCCAAGGTCTGGGGATACAACGGTGAGCCACCCTCGCAGCCCTTTTACAGCTTCTGATGGAACACAGATGCCTGTGTCACTGGGAGAGCTCCGTGGGAAGCCCGGGAGCCCAGGAAAGCTCAAGTGCCAGACTGACCGGCACGCGTAGTCGTGCTGCTCTTCCAGCCGTTCAGTCGCCGTGCGCTAAACCATTCGGGCTGGGTGGGGGGCTCACAGTTAAGACACTCAAACCACTCTGCGGCGTACCTCCAACGTCCGCGATCCACCATCGCCTGAAGCAAGTTTCCCATTATGCGGCTGGTCACGCCACCCACGCCAACAGCAGCTCCGCCCCCCGTCAGTCAGAGCGCCAGCACCAACAGCCAGCGCCCCTCCACAGCAAGGTCGGTAATCGTTTTTTTTTAATAGTAATCAATGCTTTAAAATGTTAAAATTTTTGAGACCACGAGTCTCCCCCTTTTGTTGCCCCACGACAATTAGAGTGAGTGCCCGTGACAGTCTATTCACGCAACCCAACCTCCTGGCTCAAGCGATCCTCCCTGCCTCCAGCCCTCCCGATTAGCTGCTACACACAGCACCAACACGCCCCCACCATATTTCTAAACTAAAATTAGTTGGCCAATTAAATTTCTTTCATTTTTTAGTAGAGGCCGCGGGTCTCGCTAACACAGCTCAGCTGGTCTCGAACACCAGAAGACCTAGACTTGATACCTCCTGCCTGCCTCCACATGCGGTTTAATCACCTAAAATTCTTTATAAAATAATGCTATATAACTAATTAGGGACTCTTGTTTGAACTTTGTACGACAGCGTGTTACGCATTCGTGGAACATCAGTTGGGGACGTCTTGGGAGACTCAGTCTGCTCTGCTCTGCCTGTGATGATCATTTTAGCCTTTGGGGAAGCCCTGTTGCTTCCGTCAGACTGATGGAAAGGATTAATACGAATCCTCAACTTTTAAATGATTAAATCATTTTAGTTACTTAAAATCGTTGTATTTCCTCAGACCTGATTCACCCCAAATGAGTTGCCCTAGACAAATAAAATTAGGGTAATTTTGGACTGAATTTGGCCGCCTCATATGCTGGTGCATACTTTTGTACCTAGGGAGTATTATAGGCTGTTCAGAATCAACTAGAATTAATGGAGGTATAAGATGGGCTTTTCTTTTGGGTTTCTTTCTCCTGTAGAATGTGGCAACATCAAATTTGTCATAGTTAATTTGATTTGTAGTAATGTCACTATCTGTATTCTCTTTTCTCTGTATTAAATATGGGGCTTAATTCTGGGCATTTTATCTTTTATTTATTTATTTGTATTTATTTATTTTCCTTTTTCTTTTTTTTTTTGAGACAGAGTCTCACTCTGTTGCCCATGCTAGAGTGCCGTGGCATCAGCCTCGCTCACAGCAACCTCCAACTCCTGGGC